ACATGTGAGAGGAATTCTGGAGTGTGTTGAAGACTGAGAAGGGATTGTGTGTTGGAGTAAACTAGAAAACAGAGCAAGTATGACTCTTACTGTTTAACAATGAGACTGGAGAGGGAGATCTTTCTAGATCCCCAAGACATATTTTTGTCTGTTGAAATGTTCAAGATGAAAAAGCAAACAATAAAAAACTAAAAGCAGAGATTGGAAGGTCACATTGAAGATATGTATGTAAAACCACCTAGTGTGTGGCTGTGTTTGATATGTGTCAGCAGACACCCATGGAGGTCAGAGCTGTTCTTGGGATGCATTCTCCCATCACTTCTCCTCTTCATATAGGGTTTTTTCATTGGACCTTTTGCACCTTCCTTTTAACACTGGAGTTACAGACAAGCAGCACCACACCTGACTTTTTGCTTGGGTGCTACTCTACAATCATGTCCTCCTGCTTATGTGGTAAACCTTGTCTAAACCTTGTTGAAAAAAAAGTATGCCACATTTGTCATTGTGTTCAGGCAATCTCAGCATTAATTGTAGTACTTAACCCAAGGACAACTTTGTATGTGTGTTGTATTTGTATTTAGCTGCTTGTGTGGGCATGTGCATGTGCCTGAGGTCAACATGCAGGGTTTTTGCTCTTTTTTTGAGACAGAATCTCCCACCAAACCTGGAGCTCACTACTTAAGCTAGGCTGATTGTCTAATAAACCTGAGATCCTTCTGTCTTTGCCTCTCTTCTGCCAGGATTACAGAATCAAACAACAACTTAACAATTCACTTAGCTTTTTATGTGAGAATGCTGGGAATCATAACACCAGTCTTTGCGTGTGTGGAAAGCATGTTACAGACTGAGCCATTTTCCTAACCCCACCAACGACAACTTTTGATTTCTAGAAACATGCGCAGTAGGATAGGGAATGTCAGAAGTTTAAAATTTTGCTTTAGTTCAATGAGTAGTGTCTGAAACTGTGTTGTTGAAAACCATGACTAACTCTAAAGTCTAGTTTTCTGCACCATCTTCCCTCTACTTCTCTCTATAAGTTACAAGTAACCATTAGCAATGCTTCTCTTGTTTATCAACTCATTCTCCAGTGATCTAAGATATGTGAGCCAAGCCCAATTTCATGCTCAATCCTCTACTCATCTATTATGCACCTATTAACAGATTCATCTTATGTCAGGATTTAGGCAAACAGGAATACCATAGCTATATCTCCCTTCAAAAATACAGATTCCACAAAAAGTTGAATGGAACAGACAATTCACATCCTGATGGTGTCAACTAGTCTCAGTTTTTCTCATTTGTTATTTTCTAGGTTACTCACATGGTTATCCAAGTTCAGGAAATCTTGGCCAAAGTTTGGGATTAGAGAAATAACTCATAGCAGAAAGATCTCTGGCCCTGTAATAGAGCTACCTAGGATTTAGTCTCTAAGGCAGTCATTGGCATCTGGTACCCAGACAAATTTTCTCTGCCTGGGCTTTAGAATCCTCATCTCTAAAAGGACAAGGTAGGGCCTGGAAACTTTTGAGGATTCTGGTTGCTATGACATTCTGAAAGTCTATAATCTTACTGAAGTCTGGAATGATACCTGGGTGCTCTTTGGAATGAGTGATGGGGATGACATCTAGAACTGAAGTCACACTGAACTGGGCAGACTTCACCTTGGGAGACTTCAGAGACATGATTGGCATTTGCACTGTAGGGCACAAAGAGGTTCAATACCTACTATCTAATTTTGTCTCCAGGAGAGCCTGCTAAGGCATTATCATTCCCATGAGGCATTATCATTTCATGAGGAAAATGACCACTGAGAGTGAAATGACTGTGTTAAGTATTTTATGTTAATTTTCTTATTTAATTCACAAAGTAATCTAAATACCTTTCATAGTATGTCTACCTTCTCATTTTATTCCTCCTCCTTTACTTTCTTAAGAGTTTATAGACAATGGATATAGGCTTATGAAAACTAATTAGATTTCACTTCATTAATAATCATTGGAGCTCAAAATATATCTAAATTTACAATATTTGCTAACAAACTTGGTTAGAATCTTAATGATTGAAAAGGCTAGAGGGTAATGGAAGTACATAAAATGACTGAGGACAGACTATTAACGTTTTATTTTCTTTTTTAAAAAGATTTATTTTTATTTATTTATGCACAACACAGAGTGTTTTTGCTTTGTGAGTGTTTATGACGTATGTATGTGGGTACTTATCTAGAAGAGGATGTCAAATGTCCTCTTTCATCATTCACCACATATTCTTCTTTTTGAACCACGGTCTTTATAGCTGTGCTAGGCTGGAAGCCAGGATGTCCATCCCTGTGATTCTCCTAGCTCGGTGATCCCTAAAAGATGGAGTTAAGGGCTTTGGCAGGGATGCCCAGTAGGTTGTTAGGTAACTGCTGGGATATGAACTCTGGTTCTCAAGATTGCAGAACAAATACTATTAACCTTTCCGTATCTTTCCAGCCCAATGTTTGCTCTCTTTTTAATCACAAAAGACAACTCAAGAAAAATAGAATAAGGAGCTTTACACTTTAGATTGCAGTGTATATGTAAAATAAAGAATGATGAAGCTTTATAGAATGGAAAATTGTATGCCCTGTTTATGGAAGGTAGCTGTTGTAAGGTTGATGAAAGGCAGGCATCCCTAGATGGATCTGATTTTTTTTTTCAAAGAAAGCCTGGAGATCTAGAACCTCAATTTAAGTCTGTTTATTTAAAAATATGAGTTACTAACTTTAACAAGATGTAGATAAACATAAAACTTGTGTTTATGTGTCTCATGGGCCCACCTTGATAGTTCTATTCTGAACTGTGCTATCTTCACAGACTACTCCATTAAGAGCCTTACACTGCCTTGGAAGACTGCTGGATCGCATCAGCCAGGCATCTGCCATGCAGCCACCATCTTCTCATCTCCAGACTGCGTTGTAGCAGATGCCCATTGATCCAGCTGCACCTGTTGCTTGTGGCATGCTTACTCTTGAGAGGATGTTGTGTATTTTGAACATCATTCTTGGTAAGATGGTTTTGTATGAAGGAAGTGCTGTAGTTTTGGTGACAATTGTAAGAAGGGAATTTAGTTTTACCCATTTTTCAGAAGAGTAAGGTAGTATCTAGTATGGCTCTAAAGGTCTTCAAGCTGTAACTCCTCAACATGAGAATGTACATGCAGCTCTGATGCCACATTTTCTTCATTCTATAGTTGACTCGATTTTAGGCTTTGGGCTTGATTGCTTTATGTTAGGGAATGCTTCCTTTGCTATTCCAAATTCTTGTGAGACTTTGAGGCAAGGAGAAGGTAGAACATGTAATAATTTTCTAGGAGATATGGTTCCTCAATGCCTCCTCACCACCTTCACCATTGGGTCCTGCTGGGATGGAGAGAAAACTGATAGGGTGAAAAGGAAGGAAGAAAATAATAAACTGCTTCTTAATAGCCTGGAAACTTTGGCACCAAGGCAAGACACTCCCCACTCCGTAGGTGACTAGATGGACAGCACACAGGGAGGGAATTGGTTGGTGGAATGTTACCTTGGGCGGATGCCAACCAGCTGTCTCATGGCCTGAGCCAGACCCACGACACTTTATATAAACACAGTCCTCTGCCCAGATGCCTTAGCCTGAATGACTTTGTGCCTGCTGAGGAGGGTGAGTCTGGAAGCTGGGTCCTGGGATTGTACTTGGGGATGATTGATATTCCGGGGCTTCTCAGACTCAAAAGAATGAGGCTTAAGAGAAAAGCTGGGGCAGAGGGATATCAGTTTGAGAAGAAAAACTGACTAAGGAATATAAAATATGTAGAGTTTATAGAAAGAGATGGGCTGGTCTTTTCTCCAGGTACCATTTTCCTTTGGTAGGAACTTGTCCCTGGATAAGATACAATGGTTATTTACTTTGAATGAGTACAGGTACATAAGGATGGATCATCCCCTCTAGGGAATGCAAACATAGGCACTACAAATGGAAAATGTCTAGCTTTATCTTAAAGTGGAACCATTTTCAGTATTTTGGAAGCTTGGGAGAGGTGCTTTGTTGTTATGAATCAGTTGCTAAATTAGCCATTTTTTTTTCCTGGTCTCTGGGATATCTAAATGCAGACAGGTGGCTCTGGGAAGAGTAGATGGGAGCTAAGGATGGTATAGGAGTATATATCAGAATGTCTTAGGTCATTTGTTAATGATCCATATGTGTGCGTAAATGTCCTTACACACCTGCAAATCCTTGAATGTGATGAAGAATACGGCAGTTTCTGTGTTACTTTAGCCTAATTAACTCTATAATGCTTTTGAGAGGATTTGAGGAGAAAATGTTTCTGAAGCCTTTTACCCTCCAGATGATTAATAATAACTGGGCAAATGATCATGTTGATCCTAAGGCTGATGTGCTTTGTATATGAAATATGAGGGTCTAGGAAGTTATCTACTTAAAAAAGATTGAATGGAAGGCAGCAAATATTAAACACTGGACAAGAGAGGTCTGGAATCTGCCAGGATCCTTTGCTTTTCAGGGGGCTCTTTGATGTAATGTGAGCATAGATAATGCCCCATTTTTTACATTCATCTGTGGCATGTATGAGGAAATCCAGGCTCCCGTGGGCACGAATGCCTCCGTTTGGGCTATGCACTGAAAGCAAGCTGTTACCTGTTCTTCCTGTAGGGCTGTTCCTACCACCTGACTTCGTTAAGTGTGGGAAATCTGCTTGTCATCAGTGCTCTCTGGTGGCGGATATTGTTATGCTTATGTTTATATCCAGGTGTGCAGAACTGACTATTTTGGCCAAACCAGGGCAGGTCTCATGAACGATAGTGACTAATATGGGTTCCAGCTAAGTCAGTAAGGTTTCTTGAGTGGAGGTTCAGGGCATATGAAGAAAAACGAGAGAAGAAGCCAGAACCTGTCTCTAGGTCCTAGCTCTTCCTTCCCAACGCTCAGCCTCCTGACCCTGGCTGCTCTACCCGCAGGTCCTGTTCACCCACCTGCATCGGGACCATGTGTGACCAGCAGCAGATTCAGTGTTGCGTGCCGATACCGCAGTGTTGTGTCAAGGGCTCCTCCTTTGGTCCCTCACAGTTTGCCTATGCCAACAACCAGGTGCTTGTCGAAGCTCCACGTGAGGTGCAAATTCTAGAATGCGCTGCACCATGCCCAGTTCAGGTTTCCCAGGCTCCATGCCAGTCCAGTACAGTGAAGAGCCAGGCTCCATGCCCATCTAAGACCACCAAGGTGAAATGTCAGGCTCCATGCCAATCAAAGACCACCCAGATGAAATGCCAGTCTAAGACTGCTGAGGTAAAGTGCCAAGCTCCCTGCCAGACTCAGGTTTCCTACGTTCAAGTCCCCCAACCTCCTCAGACCTACTATGTAGAGTGTGCTCCAGTGTATTATACAGAAACTCAGTATGTGGAATATCCGGTTTCAACCTACGTGCCTGCTCCAGCTCCTCATCCTGGCTACGTCTATGTAGAATGTCCCTCAGTGGGCCAGGGTCAGGGAAGTTTCTCCACTCAGTATCAGGGCTCTTATGGTAGCTGCGCACCTCAGTCACAGCCACGGGGTGCTTATAGCAGCTGTGGTCCACAGCCTCAGTCTCAGGCCTCCTACAGTCGCTGTGCGCCCCAGTTCCAGTCCGGGCCCTCCTACAGCAGCTGCGGCCCCCAGCGCCAGTCCG